CTCCAATTTAGCTTTTCATTATAAATCGTTCCTAAGTACTTCACTGAATCTACTTGTGGAATAGGTTCCCGATTATTTAATACAGAAATTGAAATTGTATCTGCTATAGGAAACACCAAGAACGCACTTTTACTGATGTTCAATGAAATGGATTGCAACCAAATTTCTAGACTATTAATATATCTTTGCAATTTTTGATGTAGTGAGTAAATGTCGCTCTCTGCAGCGAAAAACGCGATATCATCTGCATAAATGTAGACACCAACGTTTACACTGACATCCTGAACAATTGGAATAGAGCTCATCAGTATATTGAATAATGCTGGAGATAGGACGGACCCTTGGGGAACACCACGTTTCTGTTTGAATTTATGCGAACGAGAGCCATCCTTCACGTAGTACAATTCCCTTGATTTTAAGAATTCTGCTATACACTCAGTAATATAATGAGGAAACTTTAGGCTCTGCAAGGTGTTCAGTAGAATAGAGTGCTCGACACTGTCATACGCTTTAGCTATGTCGAGAGTTACTAATGCGGCGTACTGTTTCCTTTCACGAGCAAGCTGTATTCGACTCTCTAAATCCGCATGGGTGCACCAAATTGAGCATTCACTGCGAAAACCAATTTGGTTTGGCTTTAATATGAACTTATTCCTAATCCAGGAGTTTATTCGGCCATTTAGGATCCTCTCTATGAGTTTCACCATGTTCGAAGTTAGCTATATGGGTTTGATATTTTCTACGGTAAAACCTAATCCTTGCTTTTTTAATAATGGGATTACCTTAGCTATTTTCCAGTCATACGGTATCCTTGCATTCTTTAAAGAGTAGTTTATAAGATTGAGAACGTCACCGGGGCATAGCTTGAATAAAGTTTTAATCATAGGAGCTGTGATTCCATCTGGACCTGGAGCTGACGAGGGTAGATCTAGAATTACTTTTGATGCTTCAGACAGCGTTACCTTTTCGAAGTAAGTGCTTATGCTAGACTTTTGCCAGTTGAAAGCTATAGTCAAAGAAAATCTAATTTCTAGACCTTTGCCAATTGACTCTAAAGAGTTCTTCGTTTCTTCCAATGATAGTTTTCATAATCAGTATTTACTGTATACGGCAGGATTTTGCGAGATCGCATATATTGAAATAAAGCTTTCTTATATTTAGGTTTCGAGAGAAAATCGAAATGTCTTCTATCATATTCTTCTTTATCTTGGGCCACCGTGTGTTTAAATACAGCGGCAAGAAATTTTTAATCTGACCAGTTTTTAGGAGACTGATTATGTATTAGCTTCTTCCAAGCTGCCTGTCGTCGTCTGTGAATACAGTTGCGATTCTCCCAGGGGCTATAGGGTACTCTCTTCGCCGATTGACAGCAAATTTGGCGTTTTTGTATGCCCTTTTAATTACTGCGCTTAATTTCATAGCTTTAGTGTCATCTCCATCCTGGGAGGGAGAGTCTAAAGCAGTTTTTAGGTTGCGTTAAAATTTTGCATAATTTATATAGGTCTGGGCATGGAGGAAGCATGATGGTTTGACGGGGCAAGCGATCTCGAACATTATTAAAGAGTGGTCACTGGTGGAGGCGCAATCAAGGGCTGTCCACGATGTACTAGCAATGGCCGAGCTTACAAAGCTTAAATCTAAGGCGGAGCGTGAATGACCTCGAATAAATGTGGGAGTTCTAGCGTTAAGGCACAATAAGTTGTTGTCTACTGACCAGTCCCACAGCCGTTGTCCACACTGAACTGTTCTAAAACTCCAGCATGTATGGTGAGAATTGAAGTCGCCAACTATAATTTTTTTCTTTACAGCCTGAATTAGCAGCCATATCTCATGTCTTGAACGCCTACAGGAAAGTAGACGTTTATTAGCGAGAAAGGCAAGTATCTTGGCAAGGTAATATCTAACGCGAAAATTTCGCATTCAGACGATCATACATATGTATGAGTTTTTTACTTTTAAACTAATTTTATTATTTATAAAGAAACCTAAACCTCCACCTTTGGATGGCCTAGACGAAAGGTTTGGAAGTTGGGTAGATGAAATAAGTGATGTGTGGAAAGCCAAGTTTCTTGTAATGCAATAATAGCCGCATCGAATTTGGAAGACAGGTATAACATATCTGTTATGGCTGCGTGAAGAGATCAGCAAGTCCAATGTATAATTTTACGAGACCCTGTGATTTCGTTAGAATGGTTTCAGCAACTACCTTATCTAAACTACTTTCTTTTAGAAAATTGGTTTTTGAAAGGTTGTCTTTCTGGTATTTCTTGCGTTTTACATGTTTCGGCGAGCCAGGTTTTTTTCGATACAGGTGATCTAGAACGCTTTAGGCATTTGAGATCCATGTCTATATCTTGTGTGTCTTGAGAAGCTTCCTGTGCACACTAGCTTTGCCTCTGAATGCAATCTCCAGAGGGATCTGCAGACTGTGCATCCGGTGGAGTTATCTCAGATTCTGCCTCACTTGTCGGGTGTGCAGACTCAGCATTTTCTACAGCCGTACTTATATCTATCTGTGCTCCATAGAGTTGTGCGATTTGGTTATTTACAATGTGCGACAACGACTCACACAGGGTGGTAGCAAGGCGTTGTATAGCCTTATCCACAGCCTTTTCGATCATGTCCGCAATTGATAGGGAAAAAGATGTTTCCATTGCTATGTTATGGCGGGCAGCTGCTCCTGCGTACCCTTGAGTTCTGGCCTGAATTTCAGCAATGACATCCTTTCGGGAGCATCGCCTTCTGTCTACAATTTCAAGGATTTGGTTTTCACGTGCCTTGGCTGAGCAATTTGGGTTATCAGCACAGTGTGCTTCATGGCAAAGACAGCACTTTTCTTCATTACTTTTACAGTCGTTTGAGTTGTGCGTCTCACCACAAATTCTGCATCTAGGTACTGACCTGCATCCTTTCACCTTGTGCCCATAACGCCAACACTTAATACACTGTAGGGGACGAGGTGATAGCGGCTTCACTCTGTATGTTATAGGCCACGCTTTGATTTAGGTTGGGCGATTTGATCTAGCAAATGTAGCAATCACGGACTCCGTTGAGACCTTGTTCTTGTCCACAAACCGACTACATCTATAGATCGCTGTCACACCTGCTTCTGAAAACTTATCTAATATCTCAGTTGGAGTCAAGTTGACATCAACACCCCGAACGAGGCCTTTGGCACAAGCTAGGTGAGGTGGAATGAATGCGCTCACCGGGGTGGTAGCGAATACCGAGCATTTTAGTAGGTCTCGAACACAGAGCTGGTCAGACGAGAAGCAGGGAATGCCACCCTTGCCGAATAGCCTGATTTCTGTGACGCTTTGGTAGTGAGTTGTAGCGGCTCTCAACTCCGTCTGAATCATTTTTGGATTCTTCATCCGTATAATACCATCGTTGCTTGGGACCAATGCCATTGCGTAAAAACAAGTCGACTGGCAATTCCTGCGAAGGAAGAGAAGCAGACCAGAGGGAAGCCCCTGGTCCAGGAGAGGAAAACGGCATCTGTCTGGTCGTACTATCTGAAAATACACTCGCTAATCAATTAGGACACTATATATAGCTTATGAAAAAAATAATAAACAAAATCAATCACAACTACTAAATTCTTGGCCAAACCCTCAGATCAGGGAAACGTCAGTCGCTGATCCGAGACCCAATCATTGTCACTCATTCGTTGCACTTCGTCTTTTTAACAATCTTCAAGGCCACACAGCCACTGACGTAATAAGTGATCCGGGAGTCACTTTTGCTTTCAGTGAGATCAGTGTGGTCAGGGAGGGCTTCAAAAGCATAATTTCATAAACAGCATGGAGGCGCCCCACATATAGCAGCTCATAGTCAGCTTATTCTGCAATTTTATCAATTTATTGTGGATGCTCGGACATAGAAGGCTGCTCAGAACTCCAGCTAGAAGATATGTTTCCACTGGAGGGTGATCATGCCAAGCTGTAAAAACTGAGGCAATTCACAGAGATAAAAAATTGTGTTGGCGAAGGGTGATCATTCGATCCAGACATTTGCTTCAGAATTCCAAAAAGATTTTAAGCACGTCTTGGCAGAAATGAAACGTCATCAAGTATTTATAGCCCAAGGTTTTCGTGATATAGTGCTGGATGGAAAGGGTGCTGGTTAGAGCGACGCGCAGTCCTTCACTCAGGAACCCACCCTCCTTAGGTACAGCTTTTTCCCAAGTTGCTCAGAACCCGTTGATAACATGCTTGTAGCTATGGACGATGAATCTTTCGTCGAAATGAGCTTCACACACAACGCAAATATTTTTTCGTTGTTTGTCCGCGCGAGGAATCGCACGCTCCCAGGCCTTGCGCCGTTCATCGTCGGCGGGAGCAGCGAAGAGAGACGCTTTCTTCCTTTGTTTGCGGACCGAAACATATCCCGCATTGCATCTAGGTGCCAAGCAGCGTGTTTGCTGTTTACCCATCACTGTGGCATGGTCACATTGGCACGTATTGATCCCGAACAAGGTCAAATAAGCAAAGCGCCAACGTTGCGACTTGCGAGCACACGAGCAAGCGACGTAAAGTGCCACGCTAAGTCGCAACGTCTGCTCTTTGCATATTTGGACGTGTTCGGGATCAATACGTGCCTAGTTTTTCCTTCCTCCATCGCCTCTAAATATTAGCAGAGGCCCGTGTACTCAGATTTGGGTGCACGTTAAAGAACCCCAGGTGGTCGAAATTATCGGAGCCCTTCACTACGGCGTCTCTCATAATCATATGGTGGTTTTGGGACGTCAAAGCACACATATCAATCAATCAAATATTAGCAATAGCCAAAGTTGCCAATCTTAGAGGCCAAGTACAAAAACCCTTAACCCTACGTAAGTGGCGTTGTCACAGATGACGGGTGTTGTTCTAAAGTGTACTAAAATTTTCTAGTACACTCTACCGGCAGGCGAAAGAATATAGGAGGCTATGGACGTGATCATGCCGAGGATTTCGTTTGGCAGCGTTGGCCGCAACGCACTTCTTTCAGTTGGCAACAGTGCTTGTTTTGCGCTGCGTGAGAAGTTGAGGGAAGTCTTTCGCTCGGTTGAGGAATTCGGTTGATCTGGACTTTGTGATGCTACTTTGTTCGTCGTTGAAGACGCAGCAAGAAAGCTAACTGACACACTGCCATGGACGGAAATGAAGTGACCCAAAAAATCCGAGTGAGCCTTATGTCTCCTTCATTTCGACCGGTGGTAGTTCTTTGCGTGCGCCAGCCTGCAATCGCGGCTGTCCCACTTGTCCGCATCGCGAAACAACTGTTCGCTCGCATTGTAGCTACGATGACCGTAAAACGACCACTTGCTGCGCTCGACTGCGCCAGGCTTGCGTTGAAAAGACGGCGGCCCGCGCGTAGTTAACAGCCTGACGAGCTATCCGCACGTTTTCTCTGCCATAGGTTTACATTCCCTAAACGTTCAACTGAATTTCGTCTGGTGGTTCCGCGTATCTCTACGACCCTCATCTTTTCTAATGGAAGTGTTCTGTAGTGCTATTTAGTGCTGATCTGCCGATGCTGCAGGTCTCGCGCAGACCGTGAGATAATCCTTCGCCGGAGGTGAAAGAACGCTCGCTTTAGCGCCTGCACTAGATGCTTTGGAGCACGTATTGATCATTCGTTTGTTCGTTGTTACATTTTTGCTTGATCTGATTCCGTTATTCGGTGAAAGCTTGCTTGTTTGTAAATCTCGAAGCTATTCATTGAAAGTAAGTGACTGCTTTGAGCTTTGTATTCTAGTTCACGATCAGACAGTGCGGGAGGCTATTTCATTGGTGTTTGCTTTGGCAGCCCTTTTTCAGCCGTCTATCATTTTGTTTAAGCTACGACGAATTCCGTGCAGCATCGGACGCGTGCGCAAGTCATGCCCAACACGAGAGTTTTATTCAAATACCTGAGAGTTTCCTGTCGGGATTTTCCCGCTATTCTAAGGTGTTGGCCTTTTCTTGTGACCTACATCTCGATTTGGCATGACAGTAATTGTAATGTGACAGTAATTGTAATTATACAGCACATTGATTTCTAGCGTATCAAGCAGTGCAGTAGCAGAGAGCACAGTGTAATAATGCAGCAAATAGGGCTTCGAAACCGAGCGGCACCCACCTCATTCACCACAGCGCTAGAAACTCCGTACTCTTTTATCCAGTTCCTTCAGGAAAACCCCTCGCTAAGGTCCTTTTACATCCAACCCTGAGTGGAAAATTCTGGGGGCAGTCCTGATTTCCCTGTACTAAAAAATTATGTCGTATATCAGGAATTTTGCCTTGACCATGTTATTCGGTGCCATACGTTGCCTCGTATTTTCATGTAGTGAGACATTGTATTTGTTGATGTGGTTACAGATGCACGTCTATTTACCACTGTACAGAAATCATCCATTTTTGGGATCAGCTGCCTTAATGCATCACTTACATTCATGACCAAAGCATACATTGTGGTGCATGCAGGCTGGCCACGTAATTTGTAGAGCAGAGAACCGATGGACAGTTATAAGAGCAGCAGAATGGTTACAAAGGGACAGGAAGGGCAGTCTGGGGAGGCAGAGAGTCGGATGGAGGGTGAAAATTATGAACTTCACGGGGATAAAATGGCAGGAGCTTCCACAGGATAGGGCAAAAACTGGAGAGAGGCCTTCGTCCTGCAGCGAACTAACACAGGCTGAGAACGATCTATTGAGACACAGTAATTAAAACACAAAAGGAAACAAATGAACACGGACTTTACCATCAGTGGAGACAGCACCCACGACTTCTGGATTATGCATTCAATGCTTTGAGAGTTTAGCTACAGCAATGCCAGCTTCTCCACTAAAAAAAATTGCAGCCTGAAAGTTGCACTGCGAGACTCGCGGAATAAAATCTGTGTGACAGCAGTAGATGTTTTACTTTTGTGCAGTGCTGGCTGGTAAGTATGCAATGCATGATGAAGTTCAGAGTACAGTGCACCTTTATGCTGGAGTGAACTGCATTAGTTGCCGCTTGTGTATGGAAAAGAGAGGAGCAGTATTCGTCACACATATGCTGATATGAATACAGTGACTTATTGAGTAAAGCGGCACTAAATTGAGCACAGTTTACATTGAAAAAGTAAAAATGTTGGAAGGGTGCTAGTAGTCTGACATAACCATAAGGTGCTTTAGAATAACTTTTCAAGTGTAGGCGTATGAAGTCTGTTTCCAAGATTTGTGACATCATTCTTTGGATGCGTTGAGGGGCTTTGGTTTATCCCAGACTGTTAGGTACAGCCCGGTCCCGTGATTTGCTGGAACTCATCGCACGCATAAATAGGCAGTGTTTCTGGTTGAAGCAAAATTCTGCAATTGTGAGAATGAGGCCGCTGCACTGCTTGATTGCCACTCAAAAAGAGTAAAGCTTGTCAGATGGCTTCCCTCGGCTATGAAGATATGTTTCAATAGTAGGCAGCAACAGTACATCAAAGGCAGAGGAATGGGTGGTTTCGCTCAGGTGAAACTTACTTGTGCTTGGCATCTCTTTGGAATATGTTAAAGCCAAGTTTTTTTGACTAACCTTTCATGGTTTTTCTCATGGAGGCTTTGGCTGCTGCCTTGCCAATGAAGTCCCTGACCGACCCCTGAGTGGTCAAGGAATCGAACTTGTGGTGTTAATTTGTCAGGTTTCTGTATTGTGCAGCCCTAACTGTCCTTTTTTTATTTGCAAAAGACTTGCCTTTAAGGCATAATATTTTAGAGAGCATGTTTGCTAAATGTGCACCGTTAGGCCAGTGTTGTGTATGAAATGAAATAGTGTATTGCGGAATGGATTGTCATGTATCCAGTGGTTCTAATTGGCTGTGTCGCTGTAGCGAAGGCCGGCTTGAAGGAGGTTATGGGAGCGTCCTGTCTGGCAGGAGTCACAGAGCCCTAAAGAACCATTTGTCTTATGAGTAAAAAACTAAATTGCCCTATATACCTGTACTTTAACTGTACAACCTTATTATGCATGAGTAGGCTGCTAAAGTCCTTCAGTCATCAATTTAGCTCACAATGGCTTACATCTACAATAGGTGTGGGTTGACACTAAGGTGCAGTGTTTGAAATATTGGTGTAGAAATAAAAAATTAATTGATTAACCTCTGAATGCATGTTCATAAAAGGGGGATTCTCTGTATGTAGCTATTTGTTTTGTGGTTGGCAGTATATTCCGTGTGCATCTTGCTCGTTGACAACTGCCTGTTTTCCCGTTGTTGTCCAACTGCTCACTGTTTTACTTGTTCTTGTCCCAGGCTGCCATCAAGACCAAGCTGATGGAGCTTGGTGCCTATGTAGGTAAGTCACTCAAAACTGCTCTCTCAGCTTAAGCACACGTTAATCTGGAAACATGTGAGATTGAGCTAATCTGAGTCTGCCCAAATGTGTAGGGCAGTGCTTCGAGGTAGAAGAAAAATAATATATTTCTCCGGTACTATAGTTTTTATTCGTTGAGCATGTATGCTGGGTGTTTTGGTTTGTCGCATGATAAAACATTAAAAAATTACAGTGCCTGTGTGTACTTGTCGTCTCTCTTGTGGGCGTATGTTTGTGCTTCTACTACCTTGCTCAGAATAATAAACATAGGCGAAGTTCGAGAATCAAGTTTAGTTTGAAGGTGCTGCTCACCCTGCCTATTCAACCTTTTCATGTCATCTTTTTTGGGTTTCAAGTGCCATAACACGTGCTTTAAAGAAAAAGTTGTTAAGACTTGTAGTATCTCTCTTTATTTTCTACTTAACAACTAACGAGAAAAAAAAAACATGACAAAAATGAATTTTGAGGGCTTGGTTCTTTGCTAAACACAACAATATGAAAACCAGCAGCTTGTAAAACAACGTATAGAGGATGTTAATGATCACACAACTTGCTGTCGGCAAGTTGTCTTTTTGTCCAGTTTACTTTCTTCACATGTGTATCACAATTACTGCAGTACTCTTAAAACGGTACCATTAACGTCCCCTACACTTTCCTTCGCTTCATTACCTGCTGGTTTTCTTTAATCCTATAAGAGAGGCATACTGGTAGCCTTTGTTGACATTTCTTGTAGTCTTGCTTCTGTGCAGAGGCATGGGCAACTGGCATACCACAATACTCTAAACAAGGTCACCTCAAACAATGGAACAAGAAATAAGTAAGGGCAAGCATTGAGATTGGGTGATAAACGAGTGTCTCTCCTCAGTTTGAGCAGGAGAGTGGTGTAAGTGTTGTTGAGAGCGCAATTCTTGTTAGAACTCAATTGGGTGGGCTCTTCATAATTTGGAGTGCTAATTCATTGCGAATGATTCTTGAGCTGCTCGGGGGCCTCTTTGCAGCGGCATGGAATATTTACACATTGATAGCACTCGTCAGGAAGTAATGTGTTAATATTACTGCCATTAATATTGGTATGATAGTATGCCTCATAACAACATTGCTTCTGAACACTAAGTATTTGGTCATCTTTGGAGGCCTTCCAGTCCCTCATACAGACTCTCATATTCATATGCTTTGTCCTGCATGATCACATCTGGTCCTGAACATTTTTTAGATGACGAGCTGCCCGACTACATCATGGTCATGATCGCCAACAAGAAGACCAAGGAGCAGATGACGCACGACCTGTCCCTCTTTCTGGGTGACAGCACACTCAACTTTACAACATGGTATGTCATACATCCAAGTAGTTCAGCACTGCACCGGTCACCAGGTTAAGTGAGGCTGACCGATAGATAGATATGTGGGTTTTAACGTCCCAAAATCACCATATGATTATGAGAGACGCCGTAGTGGAGGGCTCCAGATATTTTGACTGAGGCTGAAAGTTAAGGATGATTTGGTACAGATGCATGGCTTTTGAATGGCACTGCAAGAAGACAAAACAATGTTTAACCATGCAGATGGTTAGCAGTGATTGGCAACGTGCTTGCCAACGATGTTATTGTAGCCCAAACAGAACCAAATTTTCTCGTCCTCAAGAAAAGCATGAACAGCATTATGAGGGATTTCTTTTAGGCTTTTCCAATCTGATTAAACCTCATTTGCACGGCTTGACCATTATTTTTTGGACTGTTAGATTTTTTGGACTATTTCGCAGTTTCCGCCTGGTCCAAAAAATTGGACGGCGACTGTACATAGTGAAATCAAACAGTGTCGGGAAAACAGCAAAAGGCAACATGGAGGAACTGCTAAACGTCAACCAAGGAATAACCACAAAACTTCTGGGGCTCTCATGAACCTGTCTCACTGTAGTACGCAAACTCATCTTAGTCCATTCATAATTCGAGTCTTCTTAGCGTTCAATAAATTGTTTTTTTTTATATGACGAGCAGGAGATAAATTTTGATATAGGTCCTTGAAAAAAACTTTTTCACGCCTTAAGGGTCCTTCAATTTTTTCCTTCAGAACCTGTTATGAACTCTGTGCAATGATTTTCAGCCAAACTGAACGCACAACCTTAATTTCGGGCAGCAACTGGAGGGATGTAATGAATTTAAGCATATTTAAGAAACTGCCACGTCCAACACCCACACTGTGAACTAGAGGAAGTGACGTTTGGAGGATATATTATGTACCAAAAAACGGGCTAGCCGACAAAGCCAGGCATTCCCCCATATCTCTTAACCCACTCAAACCCCACTGCAGTTGTTAGAACCCACTATGAATGACACTGGCAGCCAACAATGCTCCGGGGGCGTACGCCTGAGTGCCTTTGTGGAAGGAGGCAAGAGGGCCATAAAGGAGAGATGTAGTAGCAGAAAAGGAAAAGCTTGCACCCTGCATTAACCTTGGTGACTGTGACGTATCGTCTCATGCTGGTGTGCATCTACCACATGTGACGATTCTCCAAAATGCAGCCAACTGATCAAAATGAATCCTTTACTTAATTTGTAGGCTTGTGCGAATAGTGAATTTTAGGTTCGAAGTGAATAGGGATTTTGATCGAATAATTTCGAATCGACTTGGAATGGTATGTATGACATCTAAAAAAAAAGGAATATTTATCATGACCTAACTTGCACAATATTTCTTTTGAATTGAAATAGAGGCTTTATGCAAATGCCTTTTTGTTTTTGTTCAAAGGAAGTCAAAACAATTTTGAGTAGTAGTTTCGATAGAATGCGAGCGATAACCTGCAAGATACATAACATTTTAAAATTTATTATACTTGGAGCATATAAGCCATCATAAGGACCTTAATAAAATGAAGAATTGATTTGAGGGCAACATGTTTTTAAAGCGGCCCTGCAACTCTTTTTCAAGTAGCCATGCAGCCAGTAAACATGCTTGTTGTCTCATAAATTCACCGCAGCAAAGTTTCTAGAATCAGTCCAGTACGAACGAGGTTCCAAAAATTTGTCGTATGCTGCAATTGCACTTTATCTTCTCGTCCCGACAAAATAGCTGAAATTAAAGTAGGGAGGAATGGTACGACGAAAGAAAATACGTGACACGCACCTCGTGCCCTTGAGCACATTTTTTTACACTGATATCAAACTTCAGATACCACACAGGCTCAAGAAAATTGGAAAACGTGCGGGAGTTCGTGTGGTGTTCTCTGCATCGTTTAAATTAGTCAGTGTCACCGAATCTACAAATCCACTGAAAATGCAGTCATCAACTAAATGTAGAGTTAAGCATAGAAACAGGTATGTGGCATGCTCCCGGGAAGTTGTCTATAGGACTCCTCTTTGCTGTGGTGCTTGTTATGTCGAAACGACCGGAAGGTGTCTGAACGATCGGCTGAGAGAACAAGCTAACAATGTTAGAAACAGGAAAGATGGTTTTCTTGCTCAGCACGGCACTCAGTGCAACTGTGTGCCCCTTTTCAAGGACACAGTGACACTTTATAAGCACAGGGTTGAGCGCACTTGAGTTATCGTCAAGGCCATGCAGATGGCACGCCAATAAGTGTCATGCATTAGCAAGCCGTCGCATGTCTCTGTCCGAGAATAAGATAAGGTTTCTCGAAGGTTTCAGAGCCCTAAAGAGCCACTTGTCCTATGCGCAAGTAGTTATATTGCTTTTAATTTTTTGTTTTGTTCCCTTATTGACCTTTTTTTGCCCTTTTCTGTGTTTTCCCCTTACTCATGCAATGCTCTTTGTGCCACATGTTTTTTTCCACATGGTTTACTGTCTCCTCTATATGTTTTCGCTCTCTGCGCAATAAAATCAATTGAAAGTTAGCGCTCGTGTCCTTCTTGTCTTTTTGTCGTCGTTCTGTTTGTGCACTATAACTATCGTCACATACTCAAGCGCCGGCACTTTAAACGCTGTTTGCAGCTTTTGTTGCACTTCAAGTATCAGAGCCCTGAGACATTGAAGACAAACATGCATGTGCTCGTTGGAAAAATAAAAAAAAATAAAATTTCCTAGTACGATTCTGTTCGTGAAACATTCTCATTACTCGTTGTCAAGGTTAGGTACACAGAGTACCTGAGTAGTAGTGATTCATTTTTGTTTTGCTGAAAAGTTTACTTTAGAGGTGCGCAAATTAGGCAGTGGCGCAAAGCAATAGTAAATACAGCAATCCAGATGAATCAGATCTAATCCAGTCCACATCCTGAATTGTTGAGTCAGTAAATACAGCAGTTCAGGTCGATCTAATTCAGTTCAATTCACACCTTAAGAGGCGTGGGCTACAGCCATTATAGTGAAATGGATTATACTCCAGTAGCTGAAACAGCCAGGCTCCCGTGTCCTCATTTTACACAGATGTTGCAAGAAGGCACCACTTCCATGTTTCCTAGCAGCTTTGATTGCGATGTCAGACTAACGCAGGCTCCTTCAAACTTTCATCTCCCGTTACTTTTAACTTGTGTGTTCGCTTCCTGGTTCTTCCGAACATCAAACAACTGACTTGATCACTGCCTGGCTCAAGGGTTTTATTTTGGCCAGATATACATGTTTTTTCTCATTTACCGCATGTGCTAAGAACATTCTCAGTGCATCTGGTAATTATGTTCACTTATATAAAGTGCCTGTTTTTTTTTTTTACCACTCGAGGGTTTGTTTACCGTACACAGAGTTTTGCATGCAGACGTGGTGGTAATGGAGTTTGCTTTTATTCATCATGGAAAACCTGGAAAAGTCAGGGAATTTAGAAATGTCAAATTGGCAGATAACCTGTCATTACTGAAGGACTGAAGTCAAGTGATAATAATTGCAAAGAAAATCTTTCATTTGAATTGAAGAAATATGGTGAAAACAGAATGTGCTTGTGTAAAATCAGTGATTATTATTCATATAGAGCATCAAAAGAATATATCATTTACATGAGCAAAGATGTCTTAGATGGAAAACAAGCAAGTTTTAAGTGGTGTAATCCTTGTTACAGGTTGCAGGGAGTGTTGGACCACCTGCAGGCCATTGCCACAGGTGAGCTGGCTGGCGGGTTGCAACATTGTTCAGAATGGAGGTGGCCGCCTTGCTCAGATAAAAGTTCATCTGGGGTTAAACTGGGCACTAACAGCAATATTGGTTTCACATGTGTACTGAAGTGAATATGGATGCAGATGATGCTCTCACACAGGTCCATTTTCAGTGCTACATAGTGTGTGTACAAAGTATAGGTTGACGAACTCACTCGGACTCTGATCAAGTCCATATCTGTGTTGGAGTGAGTTTGGGTCAAGTGATATTTTGATGAGTCTGAGTAAGTTGAAGAAAATTTTAGTAAATGTGAGTCCAAAGTGCAAAATATAATTTTTGAATGAGTCTGAGTGAGTGCCACTTTTTTTTTTTGCCGACCTATGGTCCTATCTATTCCTCTTCAGCATTACTATCAGCCTTACCTGGATTAACCTTTATACTTGCATCTATTCACAAAGAAAATGAGGACATAATATATTGAAACCATGTACGTATTGAGTGACATAAGCAGACTTTCATAAAAACTTTTGGTCAAAATTAGGACCATTTTTTAAATTTTCTTTTTCAAAAATAAGGTTTTTTGAAAAATCTCACATCAACTATTCTTTTATTCTATCACGCTGCGTCTAAGATAATAATCTTTTGCAGGAATGTTACAAAGGTATCAATTGCACTTTTTTTGAAATTTTCGCACAGAATAAGACATGCGCCAAGGCATATCGAAGATATCAATTTTTTTTATTTTGACCAAGTTTGCCTTTTTTTTTTTTCAGAATTATCCGTTCTGCAGGCAACTTAAAGAAAGCATGGATGTAATTCACTGTGATGCGTACAGTGGGCATTGATTTCGCCTGCGAAATCGTAAAATGTTGCGGCAAGCAATAACGAGACGCGTTCACTGCTTCCTTCAAATATTTCTTTGCCACACTGAGATAGCTTTCGGAAATAAAATTTTCGGTTCCGTGTACCTCAAATATACCCGCATAGCATATAAGAGAACCATACAAAACAAAAATATCATCTGTGAATTCTCGTAGAATCAACCTGCAGTTTCAGTTTTAGACGAGGTACAGCATTGGCGGCAGCATTGTTTTCAGATGCCGTGCACGAGATTAGGGAAAGAATCCTCACTCGCTGCTCAAAATTCTGATCGGAGATGAAGGGAAAAAATTTAATAAATAAAACATCAGGAAACTTTTTGTTGTGCGTTAAGCTGAAGTTAACAAATCCTCATTAAAATTAATTTCAGTTGGTTATGAGGAACGCTTTGATAGCGTTTCTCGTAACTAACTGAAAGTTTGAGATTTTATACCCGATAACTTAAAGGGGTACTGACACGAAATTTCGGGGCCGAGATTGCCTGCAGGGTCGATTCTCGTGAACATTTGTATATTATCTGGAAGATATCAACAGCGAATATAGCTTGGAAGGTTTTTAAAATTAATTTTGAAGTTTACGTGAACGACCAACTTCATAGTGCTATAGACACCCTCGAAAGGGACCCCGAGGGGACCCCTACTTCCCTCATGTCACCAGGCTGCGGTCAACAAAACAAGCTATGATGACATCATCGTCGCCATATTTCTTTTGCTCGTTAGTTCCCAAAGTCTATATTTCTCGGTGGCTGGTTGCAAGTGCGTGGCCGTGGCGCACGCTTAGAAAGTTTTGTGTTTGCCGACATTCCACTCCCGTTTCCTATTCAAAAGTGAGGGCCAAACCACATAAGCGCGAAAATGCACGCGACAGCGACGAGCGACGCTATGAGCGACGAAACAGGGCGTTCGCGCGACGTGTCGCGTGCTCGTTTTCGCGCGATCGCTCGGTTCTCCCGATTTGGAAACCGTCGCTCATTGCCCGAAAGTGCTGGGCTCAAGCAGCCAATAGCCAAAAACCGGAAAAGACAAAGACTACGTAGGTGCACGTGACCCTGCCCGAGTCACGTTTGCGCAACAAAAAATAACGCAATGTTTATTACGCATGTGCATATAAAAAAGTGCTGCAAGGCAATAATAAACACTTTCCTTTTTATTACACAACAGTTATCTTATTTTTAAATTGCATACCGCTCGCTACGCAGTTTTCTTGGTGCGAGTAGACGGCCTCATGCCAGCAACAGTGGAGTTCGCTCGCCGAAGCCGTCGCGTGAATGAGGTTTGCCTGCGCTAGGGACTGATCGCGCGAAGACGATCTACGTCGCGTCGCTCGTCGCTGTCGCGTGCATTTTCGCGCTTATGGGGTTTGGGCTTAGTTCTTGATGCGGACCATGCGGAAGTGTGTCACAGTTCTGTGTGCTGATGTGGTCAAGAGCTGCACAAGCTAAATGGCGACAGTTGCACCCAGTTTTTGGAACTCTCAAACCAAAACTGAAACCGCTTGATAATGAGGGGCCTGTAATTAATTATCTCGCGTGCTGAAACGATGTGTCGTGTGATGACTAACAGGCTCCCAGCAATGCATTGCAGCGAAAAAAACGCGACGGCAGAGTTTTTGTGTCAGTACCCATTTAATTATGTACATAAACTTTTGCGCCGTTGCCTTGCTAAATCTGATGCCTACAATGTGTTTGCATGCTTACATTGCTCCTCGTAATGCGTATCTTCACTTCATAAAGATCGAGCTCTAAAGGTACAAAGTACCTGTAAGTGAAACAAGAATAAACCACTCTTTATATTGAGACATGTGAGGTCTCGGATAATAAGAGTTATACCTTTATTGGCTTTGGGTATTTGCCTTGGTGATGTGTATATGCAGCTTTGGCAGTATTTAACATGCTTATAGATCATGCATAGTCGTATCTTTTAGCCCAAAGATCATGCAATTTTTTTTTCTACATGCAGCACAAATTTGGAGATGTATCCACTCACAGATGATTGCACCAAATGCGTTTTTATCTTGACTAAAATATCGAATCGTGGAGCTTCATCGATAACCGGCTACTGCCACCGGCCCACAATGATTGGCAATGTTTTTTCAAACAAGACACATTGTTATTCACGCAGCCCACACCACACACACAGTATTCGCAGCGTCGCTGTGAACCAATACTGTCGATGTCTTTCTCAATGCACATTACACGCCACAACAAACACTGCACATTTTCAAAGGCAGTGCCGCTGTTCCTCACACAGGCCACCACGTGTGTGCAATTCTCCAAAGGAATGAGCGAGCCTTCGATGGAAATATTTCATCACGCAGTTTATCACACCTAGATGTCCTCTGACACATACCGCAGTAATATTGCCTCAGTAAGATGAAGTTAAAGCTTCAAAAACAGAGGGAAAAAACCTTCTCTTATGCACCCCGTGACTGTACGTCACTGTGCCACCAGTGGGAATATTTTGACAATTGCCACTCTGCACGTGCACCGGTGATGTCACACTGTGACATGCACCAGCAGAGGTCTATTGACCTTGAAAACATTTGGTAGTCTGTGCTCTTTCCTGTCTTGCTTCTTCTTTCTTCCTACCAGCACAGCAAGTAGAGTTTTTCAGTATGAATGAACTAGTCTGCAAAGAAGTATGGCTCAGTCAAGCGTATTTTTATTTTACTTCCAAGACCATATATTTTTTTTATTTCAATGCATGGAAGTAACATGTTCAGTAAGGATAAAGAAAGAATCGCAAACGAAAAATTTGTGTTATTTCAGAAATAGTTATTTTCCGAATTTTGTGCCCCATCGTGGTCTCACCAAAATAGTATATTGCAAGTTTCATCGTGCCTTTGGACTGCCACTTCAATAGGCTAAGTCTCGCATCCGGATGCATAGAACTGCCAAGTTTGTTGAAAAGCAGGTGTAATGAGTTGTTGCGTTTGCATGTAGACCCTAGAAAAGCTCTGCAAGGTCCCTGAGTCATAGTTTTTTACTATAGGCATTTTATAGGAGTGGTTGTAAAGGTGCTTTATCATTTGTTTGTCTAAAGCTGCGAGGGTTACAATGCATCTGCTTCTGTGGTGTTTTTATTAACCTTTGATGTGATGATGATGACAGATGACTTCATTCTAAGATGAGCTTGAGTTCAAGTGCACTGACGAACAGTATGCCTGAAGAAGAGCTCAAGAGTGGCATGTCGCCTGCCATCACTGTACTGCTGATATTCTGTTGGGCACGCTATTTTTGCTGTTGTTAACAGTACACACAGCTACCTGTCATTAACAGGTTACACATGTGCTTTAACACTGTTCAGAGGCCAAGCAGCGTGGCGGCAAAGAGCAGCTGCTACCGCATGTATCATCATCACCCATTGAGCCCATACGGCCCGTGCTGCCCCCGCACCTCGACATTGCCAGGCAACAGGAGGTGGTCGAGGCACAGTCAGCGGCACCCGCAACAACTGCAATCGCAGTGGCCCCTTCGTTATTGGAGGATCAGTCTCTGCCAGAGTACAGCGACGAAGTCCTTGCCTTGAAAGTCGACCCTGAGCCAGGTATGTGTGTTCCTTCTCGTTTCGAGGCAAACCCAGCAAGCGATCCTGATTTGTGTGAGCTGTGTTTGTGTGCTTCTTATCAACTACTGTCATGTGCGAAACTGATGGCGCTTTTGCCGTAAATAAATGTTTAAGATAGTGTGCTGTTCTAGCTGTACTTAATGTATTCGCATGATTTTACAGTAGCAGTTCACAGTAAGGCTTCAGAGTGCAATCTGACAGTCACTTTCATTTAGTTTGGTATCCTCCGATCTGTGCTGTAATGGGCGTTGCGCGTCTTGGCTACAGATGACGATCTGGCAGACGACTTGCGTGCCATGGCGGAGCAGCCGCTGACAACACAGCAGCCCAGAATGGCCAGCGGTGGTGCGAGCAGCAGTGTTTCTCTGGTGCGACCCATTCCCAGGGCGTTTGAACCCGAACAGTCCTCCAAGGTGCGAAAGGCGGCTTTAGTTTTTTTGCATGCATGACCACCTGCATCTTCTTGTGCAGGGGTTCCTTCCTGTCAACTGCAGCTATGCATGTATTCATACTAGGAGAACATAAATGACTGCAACTGCCAAACAGAAAGCTTGAGTTCTTTAATCACTCCACTTGCGAAGCTCTGTTCTATTATCCAGACAAGCCCATGGACAAATTTTCAGAGAACAGCAAATGCTTGCGCTACTTGGAAAGGGTGGTAGAAAACACAATAGCTCACCAAGATCACTGCCGCCTTTGCTGTCCTGTGAATGCCAGGATAATACAGGATACTTAATATAATTCACATCTTCGGTTAAACAAGACAAATGTCAAATTTGTCGTTTTCAATGCTTCAAGTTTTACCTCTTCATGTTTCATTTTTGCACACTGTTCTCCTTTCAATCTGCTTCATTGCATTGGTACAGATAATACATAGTTGTCTTGTTCATGCTGATAAGTATCTGCCTTTAACAATCCTAAGGTTATTAAGGAAGAACAAAAAAAAAGAAAAACGGCACAGCCCTGCTGCAAAAGTGAGCAGTGAATGCGATAGCAACAAATTGGCAGGTCACGTGCAGAATGGAAAGCAGATCAAAACGTGCCCCGCATTTCTCGATCAGAAAAAACAACAACAAATAAATGAAATAAGAAATGACGCACGAAACCTACTCACAGGTACAGATGCACGCGAATAAGCATCTGAGTTCTTGCTTAGCTGTGTCTGAAAAGCACGCCCTTTTCACAAACGAAAACTGCAATGATTGCAGTGACCTTTGTGTGCCCGGTAACATAACAGAATTATTCCAGATAAAGCCCGAGGCCAGCCAAGACGTACGATTCTCCCCACCGCGAGGTTGATTTGTGGGGTTTAATGTCCCAAACCACCATATGATTATGAGAGACGCCGTAGAAGAGGGCTCTGGAAATTCTGACCACCTGGGGTTCTTTAACATCTATTCAAATCTGAGCACACGAGCCTACGGCATTTTCGCCTTCATCGAAAATGCAGCCACCGCAGCCGGGATTCGATTCCGCGACCTGTGGGTCAGCAGCCGAGTACTTTAGCCATTAGAAGGGTGCGCGAGGGATGTTGTCCTCTACTCTAAGCGGGGCTAAGTACGGGTGGAAGATAAGAGCATGCGCCGCCGCACGATGCGGCGACGCGCGCTCATTGCGCCATCTTGCTGTTAATGCTGAAAACACGATAATTCCCTTTGAGTTGCTTGTCAGCAGCGGTAAGGGGTAGATGTAAATAGCTTTCCGTTTGAACGTTGAAGGACGTGCTCCTCGGTGGCTCAGTGGTTAACGCCTCGCACTCGCCATGCAGAGGACCCAAGTTCGACTTCGCGCAGCGGAGTCTTTTCCTGGATTTTTTTCTTTCTTGCATATTTCTTTATATAGATACGTATACATATACGGTGAGTGACAGCAGCGTTAACGCTGACGCTGGTGGCAAGATCCTGCCGAGAGTGTTCATATTGTTGCTATCACAATAAAAATACATGGAGACTGTCTGGCTTTGGTCCATCACTTGCGGAACACTTATGTTACTTTCACCACAGTTCAGTGGCTTCATGCGGAAAAGCGCGCTGATATATTAGAAAGGGGAACCATTTCTCACAGGTTACAGGATATTTTCTTCCTTGATTACATTCACGTGCATGCTTTGTGTAGTAGTGAATACAGTCGAGCCTGCTTATAACGAACCTGAGCCTGACGCGGCATCCGTTCGCTGTATCCCGAAGTTCGTAGTAAATGAAACACCGTTTTTAAAAAAGTTGCGAGTGAAAACACGAACTTTTCTGCCCAAAAAAGTCCGTGATGCACGTGTTTCGAAGAGCAAAAGCGATAAGGGCGATCTCGAGTTCATTTAAAACGGCAGGGTGCTCGTTCGCCGACCTCAGTGGCATAAGCTGCATGGGACACTGGCTCCAAAGTTTCGTCGTTCTCGCAATCCGATTCCTCCAAATCGCTCTCGCCACGCACTTCATTCACAATGCCATAATTCGTGCATGGGTCCGCAGAGTCGGCTTCATCATCGGCCGTAATTTAACCATCGCAACAGCGGGACCACGCGCTCTCCAGGTCTGAGTCGGCGACGCGCTGCCACAAATTGCTGCCAGAGTGATCCTGTTCAGAAGCGACAGGCTCGGCATCGGGCCCAACGTCAACGAAGTCGGCCTCGCGAAGACAGTTTCACGCGCATGTAGCTGGGACCGCCGCCCACGAAATTTTCACCATCTGCACAGCTGAATATCAGGACTCCCGAAGTGGCAAGTTGGCTGCCAGGTGGTCAACAGCTATGAGCAAGCCCTCTGCAACGCAGCACCTAACGCGCAGAGTACGCTCTTGCGACTCCGGGTCCCGCGGGTCTCAGTTTGGTAGCGGGCCCCCGTCCTAGGACCCATCGTCGAACAAGTCAGTTGAGGCGCTCGTAAAAACGACAACTATTTATTTACATGGTTAGTAATTGAGAGTTCGAAAGAAGACCGAGAAGTCAAAAATTGTACAGGAGAACTGTTGAACTATAGAACTTGAAATACACGAAAGTGTTTGGCTTACATAGTGCCTAGTTGCCAACCCTGGGCACATTGTCCACGGCTTCCGCCAATAGGGCGCTCTATGGTCTAGGTGCTCCACCCATGAAGGAAAGGAAAGACACCACACAATGCATGCGGAGAGGACACAGTCCACACGATGCCCAAATATGGTCACCAAAGCACTGCACCGACGTTTTCGCACACGTCACCACGTTTCGCGCACGTCCGATGATCTTGGTTCCAAGGTTCTTCTGGCAGCTAGGTGAGGCTCGAAAAACCGGCTGTCAGTACACGTGTCAAACTTGCCTGACTGTTTTGGTAGGACAATGTAGTGATGGGCCAGCATACCTTCAAAGCATGCCACCCCATTCAGCCGATCCTAAGGAGAAAGGGGGGGGGGGGGAGGATTAGTCAACTAATCCCTCGTCGCCGAGGCGGGCTCTGGCAAGGGCTGCAGCAGATAGAGCATTATCCTTTTCTTCACCCCCACATTCCATTCCAGGTTGTTTGCTAGAAGCTGCGGCTTAGCTGCACATATCCCGGGGCTCCGCTTGTCCTCGCAAGATGCAGCCACAACCAATTCGGCTTTAGCTTGCAACCTGAACTGCAAATACCATGCTGGTTCCGAGATTTTCAGATCCTCGGTGACCTTGAAAATGGCGCAGCTGGCTCCTTGTCTGCCTCGAAAGCCTTGCTCGCAGCAAACACAATGGCCTTTCTTGAGTCGAGCTCTCAATGGCCTCTCTTGGCTCGTGCGTTTTCTTTGCGCGAACCAGTCCCGAACCCATCGTTCAGGTTTTGCCGAGAGGAAATCAACCCGTCTTGGCAGCACACCCTCGCTTGGAATGCGTTGAAATATTTTCGTCCCGTTCACAAAGACCGAAAAACTTCAATAATGATGACGGTCGTAACAGTCTCTCGCGCGGTGGGGTGAAGATCTCGATGGGCTGAGGTTTGCAGCCACAGTTCGGAGAGATCAGTGCTGACGTCTGGTCTGGTGAAGGTGAAGACTGTCCTTGATGAAGTAGTGACCACCTGCTTCATTTTGGCTCAAAAGACATCACATACGCATATGAAACACAACCACTCACCTAGTGAGGGCCAGACAATTCCGTCAAACCCCACCAGGCATATTTACCCCTTTACAACTAATTAAAAGAAGTACACTAGTTATTCTAAATTCCTTTCCTACGTTTGAGTGAAACAGAATAACAGCACGGAAAGCACACCCAACCTGAAACCTTGAATAGTGGTGTCTTCAATGTACTCACCATGAGTTCAACGAACTCTAAAACACAACAAAACAACAACAAAACCTAACCAATGGTCCTCGTCTAGGTCAGGAAAAAAAATATTGCTGAACTCTTGAGAATGGCATTCGCGTCAGGGACAGCGTCTTAAACACTCAGTGTTGCCATGGGGTATCCCTCTTTTGAAACGTATGTCAAACGTATACTGTTGCAAAACGAGGCTTCAACGCAGAAGGCGGCCATCCTTAGAGAAGAAAGGCAGTAGCTCCGAGAGAGGACAATGCTCCACCTCGATAAAACTCAGCTGGTAACCTAGTAAGCTATTTTTCTGAGCTGCCTTCACTAGGCTTTTCCACCACCTAAGCAGGACACTTTCAAACCAACGAAAAGCTCAAAACAAAGAATTCTCGCATGAGTTCCGTTTACGCACAAGGAAAAAGTTAAGCCATCGTGCAGTTCTCTGCGGACGCTATAACCCAAGCTCAAACCTTACCGTTATTCACGTCTTTAGTAGGACACACCTTGACAGACTCAAATCTTTCAGATTACATTCATCTGCATCCTATAACCGTCCGAAATGTCGCTCTAACCTCGACTTTCGGTAACGCGTAACGCTTTGTTTAAACTATCGCGCGATACCCAAGCATGCCATCAAAACCAAAGGGACGGAACTAAACCTTGCGTAATAGTCTTGTTTGGTTAATGTTACATTATCATGCTAGCCACTTGGATAAAGAACGCACTGGGTTCTTTCAGGTCTTTTAGCTCTATTCACACTTATAGAGCACTGTAACATCTCCCGACCAACGTACGCTTTTGTACCATCTAAATATCTTCTAAATGCGTGTTTGTTTGCAAATATTTACAAAAACCACAACATACCGCATTCGGCACGAACCCTTTGAAACCAGTTTTTTTTTTACCTTCCTGACAAAAGAAAACTTTACTTCAAAGGGTCATAAGTAGAAGAATATTCAAATAATTACCTTCCAGAACTATGCAGGTCGCATTCTGCGAAAAGCTTGCAGCTGACCTTCACGCTTTCAGCCTTGCACGTGGCGGTCGTATTCTCTGCCGCTTTCGCGATCGCCAGAGGCCACAATGAGCGCGAGCTCCTAGCCCAACTTTGCTATCTCGCCTCATTGCTGATTCTGGCCTGCTTTATTCGTAACACCGAAGATT